TAAACATGCATTTCAGCATGATCCAGCAATTTCACTCCTAGATATTTATGTAAGATAAAGGAAAGCAGATGGCCACACAAAAACTTGCACAGGCATGTTCATAGCAGGTTTATTTATGTTAGCCCCTGGAAACAATCCAAAGGTCCATGTGGCAGGGAAAAGATATACACATTGTGATATATTCCCATAATCGAGTAGTAATCAGCAATAAAAAGGACAGAACAACTTCATGCAACAACCTAGGTGAATTTCCAAATCACAATGCTTAAGATAAAAAGCCAGACACTGAAGAATGCATACTGTATGAATCTACTGATATAAAAGTCTTGTAACTCCAAAAGCGAATCTGTAATTCCAGAAAGGAGCTTATTGGCTGGTGCCAGGTAAGGGTAGAGAGACTCACTGAAAAGTTGCAGGAGGGTTGACTAGGGTGGTGGTTATGTAACTTGTATGCATTTGCCAAAGCTTATCAAACTGTACATTTGAATATCTGTGTGTTTCATTGTATGTAAACTACAGCTGTGGTAGGCAAAATGTTGTCCCTCGTGACCTTTGCCGTTTGGTGTTATGCTCATGAATATGTTCTGTTAGACAGATCCGAAGCATGAAACAGACTTGATGCACTCTTGCTAGCATGAAGATGGAGGGTGCCGCATGAAAACTGAGAGAAGGGACTAAATTCCAATTCAGCCTGGAAGTGGATTCCCCCACAGAGTCTCCAGTAAGGAGCAAAGCGCTGTCAACACCTTGATTTTGGCCTTGTATGATCCTGAGCAGAGTATCTAGTTGAGCCCACCTGGACTTCTGACCCACTGAAACTGTGAGATAATAAATGGATGTTGTTGCAAACTGCTAAGTTTGAGGTACTTTGTTACACAGCAGTAGGAAACTAACAGGATGCTCAAAGCTGATCCAAATACCAAAAAAAAATTGACAACCAAATTAAAAATGTGATTAAAAATCATGCTTCTAAATGAAATCAAAGAGGATATTACAGACTCTACTGAAAACAATGAAAAGAAAACTCTTCATAACATAACCTATGGGATATGGAAAAATTGTTCTCAGAGAAAAATGTATAGCTTTAAATGCCTTCACTGTTAAAAACAAAGGACAAAAGAAAGAGAAAAGAACATATTATTTTCCCTAAGATATTAGAAAAAATATAGCATGACAAGCCAAAAGAAACTATCATTGATAAAGATAAAATATGAAAATAAATTAAATATAAAAAATAACCAGGGACTTCCCTGGTGGCGCAGTGGTTAAGAGTCCGCCTGGCAATGCAGGGGACACAGGTTTGAGTCCTGGTCTGGGAAGATCCCACATGCCGTGGAGCAACGAAGCCCGTGCACCACAACTACTGAGTCTGCACTCTAGAGCCCTTGAGCCACAACTACTGAGCCTGTGCTCCAGAGCCCATGCTCCGCAACAAGAGAAGCCACCGCAATGAGAAGCCCAGGCAACGCTACGAAGAGTAGACCCCGCTCACCGCAACTAGAGGAAGCCCGTGCACAGCAACAAAGACCCAATGCAGCCAAAAATAAATTAATTAATTTAAAAAAATAATGAAGAAGAACAAAAAAAGCCAAAAGCTCATTATTTGAAAAGACCACCCCCAACAACAACCAAAGAGAAATCCGTGATAAACTTGTTCATGTAGAAAAGATAAATAACAAAAATTTAGGAATTTAAGAATGAGAAAGGGCAAATAGCTACAGATGATGTGGAGTAAAAGAATCATGAGAGAGTGCTATATGCAACACAGTGGCAACAAAATTGAAAAAATAAAGGAAATGATTTCCTAGAAAGGTATAAAATTATTAAAGCTGACTCCAAAAATAAGTTGAATTTTGATTTGACTAGTTAACATAGAAGAGCCTGAAGAGATGATTAAAGATATTGCAAATGTCACTTGGACCAAATGGATTCATATGTGAGTCTTATCTAACTTTAAAACAACAGATAACTCTAATGTTATTTGAGCTATTTTAGGCAATAGAAAAGGATAGAACACTCACCAATTCATCTGATAAAGCCAATAAAACTTTAATACCAAAATCTAATAATAATAGTAAAAAATAAAGTTATATATCCAGAAAAAAATGAAAACAGTAATTTGAAAAGATACATGTACCCCAATGTTCATAGCAGCACTATTTATAATAGCCAAGGCATGGAAACAACCCAAGTGCCCATCAACAGACAATTGACTTAAGAAGATGTGTTTTACACACACACACACACACACACATGCACACGCACACACACACACACAATGGAATACTACTCGGCCATATAAAAGGATGAAATCTTGCCATGTGTAGCAACATGGATGGACCTAGAGAATATTATGCTTAGGACCTAGAGAATATTATGCTTAGTGAAATAAGTCAGACACAGAAAGACAAATACTATATATTTCACTCATATGTGGAATCTAAAAAATAATACAAATGAATGTATATGCAAAACAGAAACAGACTCACAGATATAGAAAACAAACATGGTTATCAAAGGGGAGAGGGAAGAGGGGAGAGACAAATTAAGGGTATGGGATTAACAGACACAAACTACTATATATAACACAGGTAAGCAACAAGGATATACAGTATAGCACAGGGAACTGTAACCATTATCTTCTAAAAACCTATGATGGAATATAATATGTAAAAATACTGAATCACTATGCTCCTCACTTCAAACTAACACAATATTATAAATCAACTATACTTCAATTAAAAAATAAAGCTATAGATCAATCCCACATAATAAAGGCACACAGTGTCTAAAAAAATATTAGCACATAGAACCCAACAATAATCAAATTGTATGAACATTAGATTTTACTCCAAGAATGTAAGGATATTCAATGTCAGGAAGTCTACTGACATAATCTATTTGTCCTCAGCATATTAAAGGCCAAAATTCATATGATGCTAGAATGCTGAAAAGCCATTACTAATGAAAATTTTATGGCAAGGAGTAACAAAGACCACTTATCAAGAACAAACAGCAAATGTTATTCTAAAAAGCAAAATATGAAGACTGTTTCAAGTAAAATCAATAAGATAAGAAAAAGAAATAACTGATTAAACATTGGAAAAGAGCTAGAATCTGTCTTATTTTGAATATGATTCAATACACATAGAGACTGCCATGTAAAATTATTAGAATTTATATGAGAATTCAGTAAGGTAGCTAGATTTGAGATGAATATACACAAACCAATAGCTTTTCTCTATTCTGGTACTTAACATCAAGAACACAAGAGAAAACATTTGATTAACAATAGCAACATATTTATAAAATGCATAGGGATAAATGTCATAATAAATTACTTACATTTATATTAATAAAATTTATGTATAAATTTAATGAAATAGATACTAATATATATGAGAATTTTATATGATGAATGTTTTTATTCAAATCAGTGACAAAAGATGTATTGTTTGATAAACGGTGCCTTGCGATAGGCTATTAATACTTGTAAGAATAAAATAGTTCTCATAATCTAAAAAAAAGTGAAAGAGCCCAAAGAAAAATGGGCAAAACATGTGAATAGTCAAATCTCAAAATGCAGTAGTCAACAAGCATTTAAAAAGATGTTCAGCCTCATTAGAAATGAAAGGAATGTGATTATTGTAATGACGAAATATCACTCCATACCTACTAGATTGGCAAAGATTAAAAAACAAGGTAAAACTTATTGCTGATGTGAATGCAGGGAGAAGGGCACTCCTATATGTTGATGGTAGAAATGTTTGAAGAGTTCTAGCCTTTTTGGAAATTAAAACTAAAAAGGAAATATTCCCTTCATCCCAGCAATATCCCTCTTGAGAATCTGTCCTATAGGAATAAAAGCATCAGTATGTAATGATATAGGATATAATGGCCCAAAACCTGGAATAATAGGGAATTTTATTTAGCCATTAAAAAGATTGAAGTTATGCCAACTGACTTGGACAGAATTCTATTAGGTGTTAGTGAGTGAGAATAGTGTATAATAGCCCATTTTTGTAAAACAATGACCAAGAAAACCTTTATTTGCATATATGTGCATACATGCGTGTACATGAATATATATTACCATACTAGGGTTACCTGATTGGGGATAATCAAGAAGGGGGCTCAAGTAGAAGGAGAGTGGGGAGCAAAGCAAAAAGAACAGAAAAGATTGTAACGTATGTATGACATGACCATATTTAATATTTACATTACCATTATATATGTATTGGGTTTAAATCTTTATAATACACATTTAAAGAAAACAAAACAAAATTTAAAACAAATGACTTCAGCATTCAACTCAATAAGCAAAAAGTTAGATCAACTAAATGAACCAAAGGAAGCTAGGAAGAAGAAATGAATTGATGAAAGTAAAAACAGAAATTGATAGAACCAAAAGATGGGTCCTGACAAAAGCAATAAAATCGAGAAACTTCTTGGAAATATTATTTATGAGAGGTAAAGAGAACATACACGAACTAAGAATGGAGATATAACTACAGACACAGAACAGTTTAACAGTATCACAAGACTATTATGTAACTTGATACCAATACATTATCAAATCTAGGGATAACCGATTGCTTCCTAGGAAAATGTATATAACCAATATTGACTGAAGAAGAGGTAGAAAAATCGGAATAAATCAACGACCATAGATAATATTGGAAAGATTATTTAATACTACTCTCCCCAAATGCACCAGAACCCAGAAAAGATGAAAAGTTTCTGAACTCATGGCTAATACTATCCTCACAGCAAAATTGCGTGTAATATTGATGGGTCTTAGGGCTCTTCTCCCTGTGGAAGCTGTGGGGTAGGCTGAGGGAAGTTTCGTTCTGTCTCCTATGCTGCTTGCCTCTTCGCCCTCACTCTACTCCACTCTCTAGTTTCCAGTGTGGCAGCATGTGACAGAGAGAAGCAATGGACAAAACAGCCAGAGTCACAGCCCCACCATCCTGGCCGGCCCATCTAGAACAGGCCTTTACCTTGTGTCCACGTGCAGCTCACTGAGCAGTTCACTTTGCATATAGTCCCAGGACAGTTCCACCGCGCCCAGGTAGTATCTTCTGATGGCACCAAAGCTGAAAGGCAAAAGGCACAGAAAGAAGCAGGTGGAGAGCTCAATTTGCATGGCTCTGATTGCTAGAAAATGTTCGACTGGAGAAACGAAAGATTAATTCTTCTCTAAAAATATATTTGGCTCCCAGGAGAAAAAAGGTAAATTTTGTATGATTTAGTGAAAAGTCCCAAGATTTTCTCAGAGGACTTTAGGGAACTTGACTGGCTGGAGTGACAGCAGCATTAGCGCTCAGCAGTGACGGATAGGATTGCTTCCTTTTTGGCAGTGGGAAGCAGCCACAGGAAGAACTGAGTAGGAAACAGGAGGCTGAGCTAAAGCTTAACCCATTCACCTCTGAAAGCAGCAGGGGCACAAGAATGCTGCTTTGCTCAGAACCTTTGAGGAAAGGAAAGAGGGGGCTGATGTTGTTGAAGATTCTGGAATCCACCTGCACCAGCAAGAGTAATATTCTAACAGTCTCCCTGCTTCCGCCCTTGCCCCTCACAGACACCAATGAATGACCTTTAAAACCATAAAGCGGATCCAGTTACTTCTTCGCCCAGAAACCTCCACTGGCTTCTGGCCTCACTCAGAGTATAATCCTACATTTTGACCATGGCCTAGAGTCTTCCCCATGATCTGCATGTTCCTTCCCCCCACCTCCAAGGTTTCATCTCACTCCAGCTACTGGCCTCCTTGCTCTTCCTTAAAACACCGAGCACACCCTTGCACCTGGACCTTAGCATCTGCTGTTTCATCTACCTGAAACCCCTTTTCCCAGATAGCCACACGTTTCCACTCCCACATCTCCTGCAAGTCTTGGTTCAAATCTCACCTTCTAATGAGCTCAAATCTGGACCAGCGCCTTGACACTGTAAGTTCTCTAGCCCCACCGGCACTACTGATATCTCTCTTGGCTTCATTTGCTTACAGAGCACTCATAACTACCCAGCATCCACGTATCTATTTCCCTTGCATCGTTGCTACCTGATGCTTCTTAAGGTTGTTTACATTTGGCCTGAGTATAGGCTATATCTCCTTACATCAAAATATAGCCATGCTGAGCTCAAGCAGAGAACCTACTCAGTTTAATGTATATTAGGAGGCATGAGAGCCTCCCAAGGGCCTCAAAGTATAGGAGCTAATAAGAATCTTGATCAGGGTTTCTATAAGAAGTGTTATCATGGAGAGTCCACTTCTGCACGGGTAGGAATGTGTTTGGGAGCCATTGGCAAGGTATTGTCCAGCTTGGAAACAATCAGGAAGAAGCCCCTTGGGTAAACATCTGCTGAGACCTTCTCTCTGCCAGGCACAAGTTTGCAGAGATAATAGCTGGCATGTAATATATTCCAGGAACTGTTCTAAGTGCTTTCTAATGCAGCAAGCATTCTTGTCTTCATTGTATAGGTGATGAAACTGAAGCACAGAGACGTTAGGCAACTTGGCCATGGTCACACAGTTTGTAAATTGTAGCATTCATACCCATTTAATTTGGCTCCAGGAGTCTTGCTCCTAACCCTTTTACTATACGTCCATGCTTCAGAGACGAATAAAATCCAGTTCCTGTCTTCTGGGAGTCATGCTGCAGCAGCGGGGACAAAAAGGTAGATACATAGTCACAATACAGAGTGATAATTCTGTCATGAGCTTTACACATTATGTGATTTAATCCTCACAATAAGACTGCAATGTGAGTACAGATGAACCATCTGAGGGGCAGAGAGGTTAATGGTTTGCCAAAGAGCACACAGCTACCCATTTGTCCTAACCAGACAGTGTCTTAGGCACTGGGTGCAGAGCAGTGAAAAAGAAACAACTGAGAAACGGTAAGCAATACCTGAAAGACAGGAATACCTTACGTATGTTAGAAGGTGAAGTAAGTACTGTGCCCAAAAGGAAAGTAAGTAGAAGGGGAAGGAGGGGTGTACTAGGCTGCAATTTTAAATGAGGATGGTCATGGAAGGCGTGCCTGAGGAGCAGGTGACCTGTTAACTGAGGGCGAGAAACGACTGTGATTTGGGCTGGGACGGAAGCAGTGGAGGGGCGAGCAGGGCTGGATTCATTGTGAAAGTGGCGCTTCTGCTGGTTGCTGATGAACTGGGTTTGTGGGCTTCGAGAAATAGGTGTTCAGAATAACAGCAAGGGTTTTGCAAAGGTGGCGTTGCCGTGAACTGAGACGGAGTAACAGCGAAAGCTGTTGCTTGGGGCTGGGGCGGGGAGGTGCGCCGCGGCACGTGGTTAAAGGGCTCGGCGGGCGCTGCGGGCAGCGAGGGCTTTCCTTTCTGAACCCGTCTTGGTCACTGGGACTGCAATGTTTCTTAAATGTCTTCTTCCAGTAGCACAGCGTCGGACACAGAGCAGGCACTGATAAATACGTGCTCAATGTTAACATGAGCAACCACTACAAGCCCGCTTTCTTTATTTTTAGTAAAGTAAGGAGTGAAGCAGTCTTCACTGTCGAAAGGCCGCACCGCGGTCGCGCACGGGGAACCCCCTTCCAGGCCAGCTGCGAGCTAGACTACGTTCTGTGGCATAACTCCTCCGTGAGAGGCCTTCCGCGCACACGTGTTCCGACGCGCCTGGGGGTCGGCGCCGCGGGGCTTGTGACACCGCCCTTGGCGCCTTGTGAAGCGGCTGCGCCCGGGGAAGGGGACTAGCCGCCCCGTGCCCCGCCCCGTCCCGCCTCTTCCGCCGCCGCCGTGGGAATGGAAACATCTACCCCACGTGCCGGAAGCCAGCTAGCGCCGACGGTGGCGCGCCACTCCGCGCCTCACCGAGCTGAGCCCCTACAGGTGTCATCGCGAGACAAGCTCGCCGAAATGGCCGCAGCCAGTCAAGGTAAGGACGGGCGCTCGCCGGCGGCGCCGCGAGGAGCCGACTTCCCGGGCTCCGGAAGGGACGGGCTCCGCGCCTCCCAGGCCCAGCAGTGCCCCTGGGGGGCCCGAGCGCCGCAGGGGCGGGGCGGGCGCCCGGAGCTCCTCTGTGGCCCGGCCGCTCCCGAGGTCCGGCCAAGGTCAGTGGCCGGGCTGGAGCCGAATTTGCCCTCGCTGTTGTCTCCGGCCGGGCTCCTCCGCCTTCCGGCCCCGCCCCCGACAGCCTCGGCCTGGAGACATTTTGTCCCTGTTCCCGGAAGCACTCTGGCACCTTGAGAGTAAGGCAGCTTCTTTGTCCCTTTGGAGTGACTTTTCAAACACCGGGCCGGCGTCTTTCCGCGTGCAGGCCGCCTCTACTTGTGCTATTGATGGTTTTGAAAGAGTACACGTGGTATGGTTCTTGGAAATCGCCTATTTAGTCCGCGTAGTGAAGGGGAGAGTCCGTGAAAAAAAAAGCCTGTAATAAAATACATAGTGGACCACGTCTTTCAGTTGTGCTTCTTATCCTGCTTCTTTGAATGCTTCAGGCTATGTTCAGTTCAGTACTGGCTCACAGAACCATTATCAAAAACTCAATTATATAAATTTAAGATTACATAAATTATGTTAAAAACAGGGTGAAAATACCCAAAATTCATTACTTCCTTATTGTTTGCCATGTTTAGTTATTATCAGTACTCTTGAGGTTATGGACATCTGTTGTGTCTGTGTGGTGGAACTAACGTAGCGTGATAAGCCGCGTCTCTTGCCAGCTCCGCATTCAGCGCTGTCACACTTCAGTGACGTCACACCCTGGATGTTGGTATACATTACTAGTCAGCCCTCCCCCCTCCCCAGCGCGCTTGTGAAACGTTTACCTGGGGACTTCACTGGCGGTCCAGTGGTTACGCCTTCACCTTCCAGTGCAGGGGGTGCAGGTTCCATCCCTGATGGGGGAACTAAGGTCCCACGTACCTCCTAGCCAAAAAGCCAAAGCATAAAACAGAAGCAATATTGTAACAAATTCAATAAAAACTTTGAAAATGGTCCAGATTAAAAAAAAAAATCTAAAACAAACCAAACCGTTTACCAGCACACCTGAATTGAGGTGACTCAAAGGTGTTGGAATGCACAATGGAATTATTTTCCTGCAGAGCAGACTGCCCTTATTTAGTTAAAATGTATAGTTTGCTCAGATATTTGCACCTAGGAAATTGGTGGGAGAAACTTTGAGTTTGACATTAGGAATTTCAACCTTTATCATATTGATGATCACATAATACTGTAATCATTGCTTTCCTGGGCTCACAAGCAAGGCTGCTGACTGGTCGGTATAGTGCTTAGCAGTGTGTGTTGAATGACTGAGTGACTTTGGGTGAACTCAGTGTCTGTGATTTGATCCCTTTTGGCTGGAGCCCTCTATTGAGCGAAGGAGCTTGTTAAAATGACATTAAAACAAAACTCAAAACTCATTCTTGTTTTCAGTGATGTTCTTTAACCCAGGGAGAGAGTTTCTTCTTCAACACAGCAGTAATGTTTTGTGGTTACGTTAGAACAAAAATTTTCATTTAACTACTTGTGAGGCCATAGAAGGCCCAGTTCCTTAAACATCCATATTTTGGCTTTGCTAAATTGGTATCTATGGTCCATCTTGAATTAATTCTTCAATTATATTTTGTGATTGTGTAAAGTAGGGATTGAGGGTTTTTTTGTTTGTTTAATACACATACCTAATAGTTCTAACACAATTTGTTGAAAGGACTTTCTTTCCCTATTGAATAACTTTGGTGCCATGTGAAAATCAAATGACTGTATGTGTAGATCTACTTCTAGACTCTATATTCTCTTCCACTGATATATTTTTATATGCTTAGGTCAGTTCTACACTGTGTCAAATAGGGTACTTTTATAAGTCTTGAAATTAGTTACCTGTGTGTTACTGTAGTTTTATAAGAAGTCTTGAAATTCTTTGAACTTTGTTGCTTTTTTCCCCACAATTGTTCTGGCCACTGGTGGCACACTGTATTTTCCTAAGTGATTGCAGCAATATCTCCCCATTCCACATGCTGTTTTTTTCTGCGTGACTTTGACACTCCTCCTGCTGAGTACTGGGGTCTATATTCCCTCTCGAATCTGAGTGGAAGTTTGTGACTGCTGCAACAGAATACAGTGGAAGTAACACTGCATGGCTTTGGAGGCTAGGTCTTAAATGGTAATATAGCTTCTGCTGAGCCCTTGAGTTTCCTTACTCTCTTACTCCCTTTCTTGGGACAGGCAGCCTTGACCCTAGCCACCATGCTGTAAGGAAGCCCAAACTAACCCAGAGCAAGGCAGCCTGTATGTGTGAATGTAGTAGATGATTCCAGACGCCTGCCTGTAATTCTTCCAGCTGAAGCCACAGACATATGGAACAGAGATGAGCTGTATCC